CTGGAGGTATATCATCATTGATGAGGCACACAGAATTAAGAATGAGAAGTCTAAAGTATGTATCTACCAAGTGTGGTTGCCACATTTTACTTCTATGGTTTCATTTTTTGTGGTTGTGCTCTGATGAATTATCACTATGTTTCTCATCTTGTTTCCAGCTCTCAGAAATTGTACGAGAACTCCGTTCCTCAAATCGGTTGCTCCTGACAGGAACTCCTTTGCAGAACAATCTTCATGAGCTGTGGTCATTGCTGAACTTTCTGTTGCCAGATGTTTTTAGCTCGTCTGATGTAAGTTGCTCCTGTATAATAAGACTAAATGTATTAGGGAACTTGTATGATTTATTTTTGTAAGACTAATCACTTAAGCTGCTCAGAACACAACAACATTTTGGAAGGAGCATAAAAGTTCTTGAAATAAATAAAGGTAACTGCTGCCTAGGATGGTGTTAGTTTTAAGGACATCATTTAATTTTTAAGTTTTTGGGCTTTTTCCTAGGATTTTGACGCCTGGTTCAACACCAATTCTCTTGTGGAAGAAAAACAACTTGTGGAACGTCTTCATTCAGTAAGTACTGCATGATATGATATAACTGCCAAGGAGACAACTTTGGTTTTGTGAACCTCATTTCATATTGTTTTAAGTATTGTCCAGGATCCATACATGCATACCATACATACATACATACCATACATACCATACATACCTGGATAACCTAAGTATGAAAATTGTCCTCAAATGTGTTAGTGGATGCCCTCATTTCCATATTGTTTTCACACTTTGCTGCTTTCCTGTGATGTAAAATGTTTTCGTTTTCATTTTGCAACTTGGCTGCTCATTTGTGAAGTATAAAGTTTTAAGTTTCTAACAAAAATGCTATGCAACAGACTTCAGCTTTTGTCAGGTTTTTTTAGCATACTTTTCCATTAAACAGGGTGTGATATGATAAAATTGTTGTCTAAAAATGTCCAGTTATCTTTTTCCCCAACATGTTGAAACACTCATAATAAATAAATTTGTTTTTATCACAGGTTCTAAGACCATTCCTATTGCGTCGTCTCAAGGCTGATGTTGAAACTCGACTTCTCCCAAAGAAGGAGACAAAGATCTATGTAGGACTCACAAAGATGCAAAGATATTGGTACTGCTTCCTTCAATGTTCTTTGAAATAATTCCTAATTTAATAATTCCTAACTTAACTGCCCTTTACATGTTCATCCTAACATCAGTATGCATATTCTCCATACTGTTCTCTATAATTCCCTGAGGTGCTGACAAGGAGAATTTGTTTGACAATCAGGAGCTTCTTTTGCTGGTTATCATTTCCTTAGAACAGGGATGATATTGTAAGGAGAAATTAATTGCTAATCATTCTTCGGGGTCAAGGGGTTAATTGCAGGTCACTTTTTTAATGGAAACCAGCCAAAAGTACACCTAATCTGAAATCTGCTTAAAAAATCGTTGAACACTACAAATTGCAAGATGGTAGCATTAAAATCTGCCTACCTATCTCAACCGAGAAAATAAAAGCCCCAGATGAGCATTATTCACAAGTATATAGCAATAATCATTGTTATTACTATTGCCTATTTAGGTACACCAAGATCTTGATGAAGGATATTGATGTGGTAAATGGAGCAGGGAAATCAGACAAGATGCGACTACTGAACATTCTGATGCAGTTAAGAAAGTGTACAAACCACCCTTACTTGTTTGATGGAGCAGAACCTGGTATGTAGAAGAGTGAGATTCAAAGTGCTTATGGTCTGTGTTGACTGATGTGATAAGATTGGAAGGTTGACAGAGGTGCAAGGGCAGGAACACTTTTTATATTGACTTGCAGACTGAGAGGCTTTGTGATGCCAGCTAGTAATCTAAAAGATTGAGTGACTGACTTGAAGCCCAGCTGACTAGTTGACTGATGACAAGTGGCTGGCCTGCTGGGAGATTTACTAACTGACCTACAGACTGACTTAACAACTGACTCTTTTAATGATGATAAATGGTAGTTGACTAACTGACTGACAGACTTTCTGACTTAAGTACTGACAAAGTAACTATCCAATGTATCAAGCACAGGCTGACTGATTGACAGGCAGACTAACTGATTTCCGTGCTGACAGACGGATGGAACCTGTTTGACTGATGGAGCAACTGTCCTATTGATGGCCGATGAACTGACTGATTGTATGGCTGACTGACAAAGTGATCCAACAACTAATTGACTGACAGACTTCCTGACTTTCTGACCAACTGACTAATTGATAGATTGATCAGCCCTTAAACCCCTAAAAGTGATAAGTATCTAATTTCTCACAACAATATCACCTCTGAATCAGACAATAAGGTCATAAGATAAAGTGAATTATTGCAAATCAAGAAGCTCTTGATTGTTAAACAAATTCTCTTCGTAAGTACTGTAGGAAAAGTAAAGAGAACAATATGAAGAACCTAGATACTGAAGTTAGATTGTTAGGGGTGAATTAGTTGACTGATTGATGGATTGATTTTCCAAAAGGTCCCCCATACACAACAGATCAACATCTTGTAGACAACAGTGGCAAGCTGAGAGTGTTAGACAAGCTGCTTGTTCGGCTTCAACAGGAGGGTTCCAGAGTTCTGATTTTCTCCCAGATGACCAGAGTGCTGGACATCCTTGAAGATTACTGTCTGTGGAAAGGATTTGAGTACTGCCGTCTGGATGGACAGACACCGCATGAGGAGAGACAATCAGCAATCAATGCATATAACATGCCTGGAAGTGAAAAGTTTGTTTTCATGTTGAGCACCAGGGCAGGAGGTCTGGGGATCAACTTGGCCACAGCAGATATTGTGATTTTGTATGACAGTGATTGGAACCCTCAAGTAGACCTGCAGGCTATGGTGTGTTGCAGTATATGTGAATTTTGATTTGGTAAACAAAAACTTTACATCAAGGAAGTTAACTTGATGTCATCTTAAGTCAATAAGACGTCAAATGGGTACACTTTAATCTTAAAGAAGACAATGTTTGGAAATAATTTCTTGAATTTATAATCATATTGCGATGAACAACAACAGCAACAAAAACATCCATGTCATTGGGTTGGTATATAGTCAAGACTTTATAACATCTCTCTCTCTGCTTACAGGATCGTGCCCATCGTATTGGACAGAAGAAGCAGGTGCACGTGTTCAGGTTCATCACAGAGAGCACTGTTGAAGAAAGGATTGTGGAACGAGCAGAAATGAAACTCAGACTTGATGCCATTGTTATCCAACAAGGTCAGGCAAAGTGGTTGCTTCCTCTAGTGTTCAGTTGGTTAAACTTTAAAGAATAGAGCATAATTTAAAATGCACAACGAAAGTAAGTGAATAAGACTTTAGTAACTATCAAAATGCGTGCATGATTTAGCTTATCACATAGAAGTAAACAATCACATGGCAACAAGGAATCTATTTTAGAAATGAAAGGAAGTACCATAGCCAATCAGTTTGTAGCATTCTTGATTGTACACTAACAGGGTTATACGAGTAAAGTTAAGCTTATGCCAGTGGATTGATCACAGTGGCTGCTAATTGCTGCTAAAAAAGAGATACATATTTCATTAGAGGAAATTCTTTCTCACAGTCCTGCGCTACCGACTTTTTATTTACTCACTTGCTATGAAATTTCAACTTATTTGTTTCCCTAGGTCGACTTGTTGATCCTAGTCTTAAGGTCAGCAAGGATGAGATGCTGAGCATGATCAGACACGGTGCAGATGAAGTGTTTGCCTCCAAAGATGAAGAAATTACAGACGAAGACATCGATGCCATCATGAAGAAAGGAGAGAAGAAGGTGATGTGTCTTTTGTAATAAACAGATAAAGACAGATTATACATTTTAGGCTCTGTCGTCGAATAAAGAAATATTTTTTTTTTTATCAGCTACGAGCAAGGGACAAATAAAAGTCTGAGTAAAGATTTGAGGTTTACGATTTCAGGTCAAAAATTTGTTATTCTTTAGTAATAAAAATTTTGCTGTTGTGCTTGTTTTTAAGACTGCTGAGCTTGCTGAGAAGATGAAGCAGTTTGGCGAGAGCTCACTGAGGAAACTGGCCATGGATGCCCCAGCAGAAAGCATCTTCCATTTCGAGGGCGAAGACTACAAAGAAAAGCGTAAGGTGAGAGAATTAATTAAGGAGCGTGCTCAAAACTAAGGCGAACAATAAGAACTAACTGCTGGATAAGAAAATTGCAACAGAAATGCGATGGTTAATTTCCATAAAAAGATGCAGTTTCCTGGTAAGAACTAAAACCATACAACCAGGACAGCCAATGAAAACAAGAAGAAATATCTCAAGGGTCCAACAAGAAATTTAAGTGGAAATCTGTGAACTTCTTAAGTGGGTTAGTGGCGATTTGTTTAGCTTTTCATCGTTTTGTTGGAGACAGTGGGAAGAATTTCTCAGGTTTGTCATCGGAGGGAGTAAAGAATAAAAGTTGTCTTGGACTTAGTCTTTCGACCTAGTAACTGAAAACTGCTCCATCAGAGAAATTTTCTATTAAGTGTCGAAGGTAATCTGGGATTGATTTGGTTTTGCTCCATCTCGTTACGAGATTGGCCTAGAAAACTCGCGCCACTTTCTTAACCAATCAGGTTCAAAACTAAAACCAATCGCGACCAGCGTCTTCCCGCGCTTTTGGTAGTTCGCTTGTTTTTACTTTGAGTTCTCATTGGCTCCTGGTGATATTTTCCATGCTATGATTGGCCGTTGTGATTGCTTTGGTTTTGGTGTCAGTGGACACGCTGTTGAAAGCGTGCTTATTGAGTTTGGTTTGTTTGATCTCTTTCAGTCTGGCGTTTTCCCGCACTGGATTGAGCCGCCTAAGAGAGAACGTAAAGCGAACTATGCTGTTGACGCCTACTTCAGGGAAATGCTGCGAGTTAGTGAACCAAAGGCGCCAAAGGTGGGAAAAATATGAGTAAACTAGGAATTTTTGTATAAATTTGATGATTTAGTTGTGTTGGGGATTGCGGTAGCTTAGTGGTCTTACTCAGTTCAACATTTAATGTTGAATGTCACGGCAACTGAACACGTTTTTCAAGCAATATTGAAGGCTTGAATTAACTGAGCTTTCGAAAATGTTCATAATTTATTTTTAAAATGTTTCTGCTCTCGTCCTTTCAGGCACCGCGACCTCCAAAGCAGCCTAACGTACAGGACTACCAATTCTTCCCACCGAGGCTGTTTGAATTGTTGGACAAAGAGATCTACGCGTACAGGAAGAGTATTGGCTACAAGGTGAGGGGCTCAGATAAAGAGTTCTTTTACAACCTAAGTGTTAGCCTCTTCTCTTTGGGAACCTTCGAACTCAAATTAGCACTAACTACTAGTTTAGGGGCTCAGATGAATAGTCATGTTATGACCTCAGTGTGAGCTTCCGCATTCAAGGAACCATCAGCGTATGTCCATTGACATGGCGTTACTTCGTTTTTCTTGCTCACCTGACAATGTTTTCCTTGTGTAGGTTCCGAGAGACCCTGAAGACCCTCAAGGAGCAGAGAGACAGAAGGAGGAACAGCGGTTAATAGATGATGCTGAGCCGCTAAATGAGGAGGAAGCTGCCGAGAAAGAACAGCTCCTCCAAGAGGTATCTTTTATTTGTCTTTCGTTGTGACTGTTCCTTTTTCAGACTAGTAATGACTGCCGGAGCTGCCATTTCACGATCCAATGAAGAGAAAAAAGCACGTAACTCTCGCAGAGCACGGGAAATATGCAGTGAACACTTTGCAGCGAAGAAGTAAAATGGGTGCCAATCTCAGAAAGTCGAACGCATAAACATATAACCGGTGTCAAGCGCGAAATAACATCCAACCTTGTTAGCGCGGGATAACTTTAACCATCGGTATATTGCTGGAAACGTGTAACCGGTGCCGAGCGCGGGAAATATGTAACCAGTGTCAATCGCGGGAAAAGTTGTAAATCTTGTCAAGCACAGGAGAAAACGTGGGAAAACGTGTGACCAGTTGTAAACGCGGGAAAATATTAGGTGTAAGGATTGTCAAGGGTGGATAAACGTATAACTAGTGTTACGTAGGAATAACATGTAACAGGTGCTGAGCGCGGGAAAACGTGTCGCCAGCACCATGCGTAGGATAGCGTACCCAGCGTCAAGCGCAGGAAATGGTTAGCTGTACACAGTGTCCAGCGCGGGAAGACACGTAACCGGTGTCAAGAGCGGAAAACATGTAATCAGTGTCAGTCAAGCGAGGGAAATATGTAAGCGTTGCAAAGCGCTGGAAGTGTTTTAGGGGTCCAGCTATGGGAACATGAAGCGAATGTCAAACGCGTAGAGAATTTGAAGCGCGGCAATGATTATTTGTATGATGTAACTCATCATCTCGTAACCTGCATTTCTTGATCGTTAAATATTACCTATTTTATTCTGTTTGAATCTAGGGCTTTACAAACTGGTCGAAGCGTGAGTTTAACCAGTTCATCAAAGCGTGTGAGAAGTACGGTCGTGATGACTTGGACAACATCTGCCAGGAAGTTGAGGGCAAAACTCCAGATGAAGTGCGGGCTTATTCCGCTGTGTTTTGGGAGCGAAAGGACGAAATGACCGATATCGAGAAAATAATGGCACAAATTGAACGAGGTGAAGCCAAGATTCAGCGGCGAATCAGCATAAAGAAAGCGCTGGAGGCCAAGGTAAGAAAGTCATCAAAGCGATCGAATCAACATTTGAAAGTTATGTTAAGAATTCCAGTACAGTGACGTGTTTTCCGAAAGTTGTTGCATCAACGTTGTGATCTAAGATTGGGTTGGTCTGTAAAGGATAGTCTTACCAAATTGCACGCAATGTTCGCAATTTTTTATTGAAAGCCTCTTAAAATTTCACCTTGAGCCTGAGGATGTAATCCGAAAAACTGAAGACAAAGAGTGGACGTCTATTGATGCAATTTGACGATCATGAGTCCAAACCACTCTCTTTCCGTACCCCATTTTTTGTGTATTTTTCTTCGTATTATTTAGAAAACTATTTACGCGGCAGATGCAGACTTGAATAACCGCTTCGGGATTGAGTTTTAGTTAGGCAGCCAATTTTTATGGGAATGGTACGAGTTTTCTCTGAAGACGAATCACAGTGCATAGCAAAGTTACGCAATCCCAGATGCAATCCTAGATAACTTTCTACATCTAATTAGAAATTTATCCTTGCGTTACAGATGGCACGTTATCGCTCCCCATTCCACCAGATGAGGATCGCATACGGAACCAACAAAGGAAAGAATTACACTGAAGAGGAGGATCGCTTCCTGGTTAGTAAGAAAGCTTCTTTATATTGGTTTAGATAAGTTTGTGCTACGTTGGCACAAGAACGTTCGCCATCTCCAAGGTAAATTCGCTCGTTCGCTCTATTCTTGTTAACTTTCTTCTTTAATTCGGTTGACACTTGTAAGAGATTGGCCTTTGCTCAACCAACTACAAATTTTACTGATATCTTGTTCGCTAACAGTTCAACTTCTTGGAAGAAGGCAACGAAAAGAAGAGTGCCTTTTGATTGGATGCTGTAAAAATTAAGGTGTGATTGGTCGAGAGAATGGCTCGAAATTTCTGAGCCAATTGTTGATCAAAGAGAAATAAAATAAATGCGATAATAGATTAATTTGGACATGTGATTGAAATTTGCCCTACTTGAATGCAAACTTGAAAAGTAATTAATGTCTATTTCTGACCTTTAGATTTGCATGCTGCACAAACTCGGGTTTGACAAGGAGAACGTGTACGAAGAACTGAGAATGGCTTGTAGAAGTGCTCCTCAGTTCCGGTTTGACTGGTTCCTGAAATCCAGGACAGCTCAGGTGTGGAAAACGCTCTCGATCTTTTATTTTTGTTAAGATTTAGGAAGATTTGAGACGAGTTGAGGCCTGGCACTAATAATCTCATGGTTGGTGCCAGACCTTTCGTGGGCTCGCTTTACTCAAGCACTCAGACTTTTTTGTGGGTTAAGAAACGCTGGTGTCGCAGCAGTAATAAAAGGAAGCTCGAAGGCTACAACTTATTTTGACGACTGTTGTCGTTACAGGAGCTTCAGCGCCGTTGTAACACGCTGATAACACTGATTGAACGAGAGATGATGGAACTTGAGGAGAAAGAAAAAGCAGAGAGAAAGAAACGAGGAAAGGCTGCTGGGGGGACACCCAAGGTAGGTGACACCTTGTGGGTTCTGATATGAAATATATGAAGGAGTGAAGGATCGACAAGCCTTAGTCTTATTTTGTCACCCGTTAATCTACCTTCCGCTTAAAGGATAGAAACACGCGAGGGGATTAGACCAGATTCCTAATGACGAACTTAGAAGCGTTTCCATCTGCTAGACCAATGAAAAACTAGGATTAATTTGATGCGCCAAGTGACTGTGTCAGTGCTCTCTGATTGGCTGAAAGTTTGATAATTCATCGCTGGGTCTTGAAACGTAAGAGCTACAAGGAAAAAATGAGTGTGAAGCGCCCTTCTATAGTACCTCCGATAAACTGCTTTGTGCATCTACTATTGCGACTTATTTCGTATTTTTCCATCGCAGGCTCAAACGCCGAACAAGGATGAAAAGAAAAGAAAGGCCGATGGCACTCCTGATGGGAGAGGTCGCAAGAAGAAGAAACAGTAGACAAATGACATCTTGAATTCTTATCAGAACAAAGAGGGAATGATCTTGTAAAATATTAAGCTTTAATCCGTTTTTGATTGGTGAATTTTTCCATCTCACCTGTATTATAGCAAACTTGTAAAAGTCTACTTGTATCGTTTAGCGCCGTCAGTTTTTCCTCTATGGAAGTAATTATCGAGTTCACCACGATTTTTTAGTTCACTATTCCAGGTATCAATCTCAAGGTGCAAGTCGGATGTGTCCTTTAGCAAGGTTGGGTCTTTTTCAGTTAGCGCATAAAGGATGATGTTTATCCAAGATTTTTAATTGTCAATAACGTAATAAAGGTGCCTCATTAATTTACAGATTATGAGTGATCTAAGCTGGTTGAAATAACACCATCTTTCCGCTTCCAAACGGAAACAAACAAAATATTCCTCACGTACCAAAGCCACGACTTTGAGAGAAAAGTCACTGTTATTTGTTCCTTGAAGCTATCACTTTTTCTGGAGTCCAACTATCCCGCAACCTAGGAATTGGAAGCTTTCGTTTATAATTGGAATTTCAGTGCCCAGATCTCTATTATTTTTAGCCGTGCACTGCTTGCGCAATAGTTTTCCTAAAGAGGAGACAAACCACTAGAAGAACTTCAACACACACAGGTCTAGAAACTGGTCTTTAATTATAAACTTTTGTTCTAGGCAACAAAAAACACCAAACAACTTATACACTTGGGACTTCCCAATAAACAGTAAGGCATCTCCATTGTTCTGTGTTGACTTGTTTAACTGACCTGATATTAAGAACCAACAAGTTAAGTGTTACTAACACTTGTTAGCCTCACTTAGACAAGGGCTTTTAGTCTTCAAAAATGAAAATTGTCTTGTCATTCACTGCCCATGCCAATCATATAAATCTCTCGTTCCACTGCTTACTTCCTCATCAGGTGGTCAGGTTTAAAAAATAGGCATTTCAAAGCCAAACTTGCTAATATTGATGTGATATTATGTTAAATTGTCTCAACTGATTGCAAAAAATTGAATGGAAAAATAAATGATATTTAATAATTGGGAAGCAAATACTCCAAGAGTTGAAAGGTGCTCTCTGAAATATAAAGCTCTGAAGGCAGAGCTTCATGTCATTGTAAACGAAACTTTATCTTGTATCTAGAACTTTAGCAGCAATGGAGTCCTTCAATTTGCTGGCATTGCAAAATGTTGGTATGTGAACTCAAACAAGCCATAGTTGCCATCAAACCAATTGATTTAATGATTCCTATCAAATTATATTCATTTTCAGTTTTCTTTGCTATTGTAGAAAACAAACTGGATCAACACTTTGTTTTTAATATTCTTGGTATTCTTTTCTTTTCCCTTCTCCTTTTCATGAGCCAAGCAGACACATCAAGTCATTATCTGCCAAGCATTGCAGCAGCAGGCCCTTTTATGAAACTCTGTCTTTAACCAACAGCATTCCACTTTTTGTGAGTTTAAATAAATTGCCGTGTTTTTTCCAGTTGTATTAATTGTTTCTTGTAAAGTGGACAATTTCAGGCTGAAGACGATTGAGGAGGGTATTTGTGATGATACCACTCCACAAATTCATCCATAAGAACTGGCCCTAAAAAAAAAAGGAAATTGATATTGATCAGTCTTAAAGAATTTCAAAATTTGATTGTCTTTTTTTGGTTCTAATAATAATTAGAAGACCATTCATTTATTTTTTTTCAGCAAAGCTCATGAACAACTTATCATCAATCTCCAAGATAACACTCCCTATAAATTTTCATGCCACATGTTAACAGTTTACTCTACACCCTGTATGGAAAAGGACATCATGAGGAGAAAGTGTAAAGCTTAAAAACAAAGGTTTATGACCTGGCAAGAACTAGACTTGTTGTCAGAAAGATAGAAGGACAGAGGAGGAACTGGCTGTAAGTGAAGTGGCCAGTGGGGGCAGGGGACCCCTCCTCTGTTTTTCATCTCAATTGCCTTATTGCACTAGCCTTAACAAGAGGTTACAGGCTAGAGAGGACTAAAACACAGAGCACAGGGTTTGTAACCTTTTCGATAAACAAATTTCAAGGACTCTTCCAGGACTCAGATTGATTTTTCCGGGACTCCAAATTTGTCCTTAAACCCTTTCATTCATCTTATAATCTACATACATTTCTTATTACGTAAATTCTGAAAACTTCATTGCTTGAGTTAAGCAGATTTCTGGCACTTTCCAGGACTGGTAGTCTTTTTTACCAGGACTTCTCAGGTCTGCAAAATGTTTAAATAAAATTCCAGGACTCTCCAGGTTTCCCAGGACCCACATGTACCCTGAGAGTGTGACTGCCTTGCAGTTATGTTGCTTTAACTACAACAAAAATCCAAAAAATGTGAAACTTACAGGCACCATCTTCATCATAATTTGACAAATCAGGAAGTATTGATCGACTAAATTCCAACACATTACACCATTGGTCTCTGTTTAAAACTTTATATTTTGAATTCTGCAGGGAAGAAAGAAATATCTTTAAATAAATGCAAAAATTATTCATATGTAACAGCAGTCCTGTAAGCAGACATCCACATGACCAGATCAATTAAGCAAAAATTTGGGGTTTTTCTTGTCACTGTAACAGCCAACAAGTCCAAGGCTTGGGCCACTTGCCATAAATCAGAACTTTTTAGCCATAAGCCTCCATTCATAAAGAGAATTTTGTCATCAATCAATAAAAAAATTCATAAAGTTGTTTTAAACTGACTGGCCAAATCACTTAATTCCAAAGTGTTCTAACAATTTGATCAAAATATTTAGAAGGTTAAGGAGAAAAAAGCACAAAGGCATACTCATTTAGAAATTGAGGAGCTTGGATAGTCATGTGTCTTCCATGTCTGGCATGGAGTTCTTTACACAAAAAATTTGCCAAAAAAGGACAGAACTTGAGAACCTGATTGTGTACCATTTTTACACTTTAACTCTCAAGATCTGACTGTCAATTCTCCCCTCTACCTGCTACACATTTCCTTGTAAATTAGTTATGAGAATTTGGTGTTTGCTCAGGACAACAACTTCTACCTGATAAGTTGAGTATTCTCATTACTCATTTGCTGGAAAATATATGGGTAATATAAGGAGAGGTTACATGTTGATCACTTCTGGGAGTTAAGGGCATAAGACTTGACAAATCCATATAAAATGTATCTCAACTTTCTCTTGTGTTCCTGATTAATATTTCTAACTTCACAATTCTCGTGTTTACTCAAAAGGCATGGTGCAGTAAGTTAATTTAAAAAAAAAAACCCCTCAGGCAACTGCTATGTCAGCTGATGGTGTCCATGGCTAAGATACTGTCTGGAAATGAATATTTTGCTGAGAAACAAGGCCTCATGGACAAATGTAAAATTTTGAGGACAGTATATCAGCCAAAGACATTACCAGCTTACATACCAGAAAGCAAGAAGGAGTTTTATCTATCCCTCCTATTAATTTTCATACTGCATGTTGACAGCAAATTTTGTTGACGTTTTGGTATTTTGCGAAGCAGCGTTTGAGATTTGCTTTTTCACATCCAAAATGAGTTCACTTTTCTTCCATGTATAGTAATAAAGATGAAAAAGTGAAACTCTTAGGCTGCCTTTTTTCTTCTGGCTTTGTTCCTTTCTGACAGGAATAATTGGGGCGAATATCCACATAGATGAGGGTTATTGCATGATTACTGTCCTTCAATTTTGCACCACATGACATAAAGTAGCCCATTGAATTGCCCAAAAATTTATGGGTGGGTTCCAAAAAGATATAATGATATAAATAGGCTGCTGATAAAGCAACATTGCATGATAACCTACCTACCTGCAAAAATTGTAAGAAATCATCTAGCAACGACCATGAATCATGGAGCAAAAGTTGAATCATTGTAACAGCAGTATCTAAGTCTAATGTGCGCTGGTCTTGATTCTGTTTGAAAGAGAAAGTAACAGAAGAGGATTATGGCTCTTTCTTTTCATCATATCCAGGGTACAACAAATGCAATAGTAACATTACATGTTGATGGGTTAAGTATTGAATATCATTTGTCTACAACATATACAAGTATTTTCCTCAGTTCTACCTGATAATTGATTCTATTATAACTACCTATAATACTGTAGAGCTTGTGGAAAAGACACATAGAGTACCAGGAATCATGTTACTTGCTCCATTTCATGATCATCCACACACTAAATAATATTTATTAACAGATGAATCACAGTCTGTATAAATTTGGCATAGAAAAAAGTGGATGTCTGATATCTACACACACATGGAAAAATAAATGTCAGATATTTCAGAGCATGTATAAAAACAGGCAACAAAGTACCTGAGATTTACTACTCAACATGCCACAGACATTTTCCTTCACTCTCACCAATGATTTTTTAAATCATATCAAGCACATATACTGGTATATATTAAAAACCAAAACAAGACAAAAACCAATTTGTCAAGTTTTTCTTTCATTACTGATCAAATAGCAAATCATTTCCAACCAACTGATGATTGTTGAACAAAAAATGCGAGATCTTTCACAGCCAGTAAAAATACAGGCAGTGAAATGCCTCATATTCTCTGCTAAACGTAAAACATATTTCCATGGTTATAGCTGAAATTAAGAAATTACATAGCTACTTTGAATAAATTTTCACCACTGGTCCTGTCAGAAACAAATTAATGTGTTCACCTTTAAGTTTCACAGTAAAACTGGTGTTTTCTGTGTCCAAATACTTAGTGCTGGAGATTTCTCCTTACTTACATCCTTACTGATATTAGTTCAGATAATTTGGTATTGGATCAACTAAAAATCCTAATTGACGAATAATACTGTAAGGAGAAATTGAGCTGAGGTGAGTCATAAGAGTTGAAGGGGTTCTAATGTGCTCATGAGGGAACTGATGACTTCATTAACCGCCAACGTCCAAATTCAGTGGCTTTTTTTATTAACACTTTTCCTCAATAGGTACTTGCCTATGAATATTGCAAAATGTTGACAAGTAGATCAACAGCAATGCAAGTAATCTACATCAGACAAAAAGAAGAATCTCAAACTTACCCTACAAAAGTCAAATGCATAGCGGTAAATCTTTTTAAAAGTTGCACTGTCCCTTGTTAATGACTTTAGGCCATTTAATTGAGCTTTAAGTTTAGCTGTAGAATCACATCTGTCCAAAAAAAACAACAACAAAAATACATGTAGCTAATTCACTTCCACTTTTATTTGCTAAAGAGATTATATACCCCAGGTAAATTGGTAAAAGTAAATATATAATTCATTGAAGGGCTACATCCACTTGCTCCCTTTCATGCTAAGTACAGGTGACCCCTGTTCAAAAGACATTTTGATGGTGTAATTCAAACTGGGGTATGTTCCAGGCTTTCAAAAATTGTCATTTTTTCTCCCAATCTTGTTAAAATGTTAAAAATAGTGGCTTTAACCCTTTAACTCCTAAGATATGGTTTTTAATTCTCCCCTCTGGCTGCTAGACATTTCCTTGTGAATTAGTAATGAGAATCTGGTGTTAGATCAAGATCACAACTTTTACTTGATAAGTTTAGGTATTCTCATTACCTTTTTGCTGGATAATGTATGGATATTATAGGGAGAAGTTACATGTTGATCCCTTCTGGGAGATAAATGATTAAAAGGTTTAAGGAACTTTAAAGACAGGCAAAACTACTCTATTAGGTAATCTTGACCCTTAAACTTCCAAGATCTCATTAGTAATTCTCCTTACTGTCTGCAATACAATTCTTCTGATGTTACTTCTGAGAATTTGGTATTGGATCAACTAATAATCCCCCAATTGATAATTTTCTTGGTTCTCATCATTTTTTTTTTAAGGAAAAATTCTGTCTTGGTCACTCATGGGAATTAAAGGTTTATAGAATTAAATACTTGAACTGCTTACTCTATTGAGAGCATTCCTTTGCTCCATTCATGAAAAGTAAAAAATCCCATTGTTGCTGCCTGAAGTTTCCATGCTATAACAAGCATTACAGTCTGTAAATAAAAAAGTAAGAAAAAACTCACCACTATGTTTACATTTCCTAAAGTCGAAGTTAAAAAAGAAATAGTAGGTGGTTGCGTCATCATGTATACCTTGGTGTTTCCACAGATTACAAGCTAAAGGGAACTAATCTGTGTGGGTGAAAAGTTCTTCAACCTGAATTGTTTTCATGTATAATGGACATCTTTATTTCATTCCCTATCATTTTATTCATCATGCCGTGTTGTACAATGGAAACATGTTTTCTTTAAATATCTGATTCAGTTGAGGCTTTCTTGCGACTGCTCTTAGCAGTGACCACTTAAACAGTCTAATTTGCACACTTCTCTGCCAAATTAAATTGATTCTGGGAATTTTTTAAACCCTTATGGATTAGCTACAATTAGTGATTTTCAATATCAAAGTACAACAAAATTTGTGCATATTTACATTTTGCAAGTTTTATGCTAACAAGATAAAAGCTCTCATAAGTGAACAGACTCAGTCTGTTGTTTCATTGCTTGGTCACCTATAATAAGAGCACCCTGCTCTAGTTACAACTGTTTTTTGGATTCCTATGAATGACTGCTTACAAGAGGTTCAACTACATTAAGGAGAAAATGCACAATTTTAGACAATTGCTGAAGGAAGCAGAGTAATCTTACATCCTCTGGTTTCACACCAAGGTCCTTACAAAGCTTTTCAACTCCCTCAGGTCCAATTGTGTCTGGTTCATCTTCACCTACAAATATGGGAAAAAAAGTAACATCTCAAATCGAAGAGGTATCACAGTGTCCAAGAGGTAATTCACAACAATCAAGGGTACTTTAAAATACCTGCATAATGTTCAAACCATGCTCTACATCGCCTCAGAGAAAAGGGTTTTCCTAAGTCTTCAGTTAAACTTTGAGATTTTATACTGGAAACAAAAATGTTTCATAAACATCATTAGCATCAGACAGGTAACTGAAAATTAGTTTCAAACTATCAGAATAAGCTTATTGTCTAATTAGGTCCATTGAGTGTTCACAGGTAAAGATCAAAAGTAACACTGTGAAAAAATTAGAATGAGAACTAATTATGTAACAGAAAAAGCTTGCTTGGCTTTTGATTTGTGAAAATGTGTATCTGGGCAGCTTTTGAGAACAACTTTTATCAAGCGGCTAGCCTGAAGCTCTCCACTTGAGATAAATAAGAGACAATATTTGTTGTAGTTTAATTTGGACAGGGGCAAGTTTCTGTAGAAACTGTTAGTAATGCTGCATCAGTGGGAGGTAGTACATGTACAAGAAAATTCGGAAACAGGAATATGATAAAAAACAAAAACTCTAAGCTATAGTCACTCAAGTTATATTTAACCCCTTCACTCCTATGAGTGACCAAAACAGAATTTCTCCTTACAACATCAATAAAATATCAACCAGATAAGTGATGGGAATAAAGAAAAATATCAATTTGGGGATAATTAGTTGATCCAATGCAAAATTCTCTGAACTAACATTAAAAGAATTGTACAGTTGACATTAGGGAGAATAACAAATTTGATCGGGGAGTTTAAGAGTTTTAAAAGCAAATTGATATTATGCCTACCTTGTTACACAGTCTTCTCTCTGTTTCTTGAGCTTTGTTTCTTCTTTTGTGGTGGTCTTTCTTTTCCGCCTCGGTGGCATTTCTGTTGAAACTATCTCTGAGCTTATACCACTTGTGCTAGCTGTTAAATAAAGAAAAAAATGCCAGAAAGAGAAAAATATATATTTCACTAGGGAAAATCCTGTCTATGCACAATGCACACCACATGCTAGGATCCCCTCATAAAATTGAGTACTTTTAAAACTTGGCCTTTGCTTCATTTCCTTGAAAAACTACTATTGTAGACTGGACACTTGCATGAACTGAAATTTTCGATAAACTCACTATCATTGTAGTTGAAATAATAATCACAACTTTTTGATTGGATATTGTCAGTAACTTCAGGGAGTAGGGTTGACTGGATATACATCTCTTTATCAGGTATTGCGCTCAACTGTATTGGTTCATTACAAGATGTGCATCTTTACTATGACACAGCTCACTTTTCGTTGTATTCCTTGATTGTTGTGATTGATGCTTGTGGAATTTCTATTCCACTGTCCTCAGTCATGTCATTGAGCTTAAGTTTCTTTCACCATAAAAGATGACCACTTTAATACTATGAAAAGGGACAGTAGAGTAGAATCCCACAAGCATGGTTGTCAACAATCAAAAAACACAACAACAGTAGGACAACTGTGCCCCAGCAACCTTCTGAGGGAACACGTCTTTGAAATGCACCAATCACAGCTGTTCAATACCAGCCAATCAAAACAAAGCCTAATGCTTTAAAAAGTGACATGAATCAAGTTGATCTCATCACCTATAAAAGCCAGCAGTATGTATTGGAATCCTTGAAATTAATCATAAAATGTGACATCATCATGAGGCAAGCAACAATATTTCATTACACAAGCATAAAGTAGTTCAAAACATGGCAGACCTGGTCATATACTTAGCTAAGTGCATAACACCACTAAAAATTTTTCAAAAGATCCCTTTCATAGTTTGCTGGCACAAGCAAACCTGTCCAATTTTGACAGGATCCAGTACATGTCTCTAATAAATATTTGAATATGCCTATGGAGGAAGGTGGTCAGAAAAAGTCTTAAATAAAGATCACATTAAGCAATTATAGGATTATCACAAAACCGAATACTTTGCCAAGCCAATTATGTGCCGCTATTGCAATAATTGCCCACCTTCCAAATCTATGCAACATTTTCAATCAAAGAAATAGTTTGAGGTTAAGACATCATTCTGCGATGATACATGTCGTTAAAAAAACCACTGAATTTGCAAAAAATATTGCCATTTAAAGTTCGATGAAGTATACTTTCAACAAGCTACAAGGTCAATTAAATGGACTTATAGCAAAAGGCAGGCCGCTTAAATGGGCTTTAAAATTCACCATAATATAATAAGCGCAAAATATTACAGATAAAGCTTTCATAGATTAGTACCTGGAAAAAATTCATGGCATATATCGCTAGCTAAAAAATATCACCTAGCTGTAAAATATCACCTTTAAAACCGATGAACATGAAGTTACACTCTATCATATATGGATCAGCAGTGAAAACAATTCAGAGATTATGGATGAGAATATGTCAAAAACGCAGACCCTAGAACAAAAGCCTCGCGATATACCATACGAACTTTGGCGTAAGAATATAAATTCATGCATTGATTCCTACATCAAAAGAAAAATCAATCTGTCTTTCTCTACTCGTCGTTGATAGACTATCAATTGAAGATATAGCTCGAGTAGTTGTATAAACAGCCCCAGAGTTCCGCGACACACATGGACGGAAACGATTGCTAAAATGGGGTCAAGAGAATCAAACTCCATCGCTTGCTCACGCTCTCGAGGAACATGTCCATCAAGTATGCAACTATTGTTAATGTTAGGGAATCAAAATGTTACCATAAACTGACATTTGAACCTTACATATGTAAAGATAAGCTTAAATATTTGCGACATGAAGAAAATACCTCGAATTCAGGGCATTAAAAGTCTACAGTATTTTCTCTCCCTGATTTTCCGTCCTTCTTTAGGTGAGTTTCTCCCGGGTAGACTTTGTAGCCGCGCTCCATGTTTGTGCACGTGCTATGGCCTCGGTATAGCGCTAATATAAACAATAAGCCTTCCTTGGCTGAGTATCCCCACCCCCACTTCTCGTAAATGAAAGAAAATTCGCCCTTCTTGATACAACCTTTTGCGGTCACAATTTTTGCTATGTGCGATAGTGTAATTTATAAGTCGATAGTTAGACTGATAGAGATTAAGATCAGCTTAAATCGAGATAAATTTGAGAAAAGGATTTGGCTTTTTTCTTAAGAAAAATTTAAAAACTAAACGAAATTGCAAGATATTGCGTGGAATTTGGGTTTTTTGTGGCTAAATCTAATCGTCATGACCTGACTTATAATTAAGTTAGCTATGGTAAACCTGTTTCATTGTCCTCTGCGTCAATCGATATCTCATCGGCACTTCTTCGGGTATCAGACGATGAGCAGCATTGTTCGTCGTCTTCGAATTCTTCATCTGATTTTTTCATCAATATTGGTTGAGGTCGATAGAAAATTAGAGCGCACAGTGTTCTCTCGATGAAGAATGCAAAGGCAGTGAAAATGAAAAAACACATCGGCGTGGCATGTTTCCTCTACCGCTAGACAAGTTGGATTCTTAAAGCTCATTTCTGCGAAATTGTGCGAAATTGATGAAGATTTGTGACGTCATAATGTGATTCAGGGCGAAGTCTGGTGAAGTCTTACATGTAATCGAGTTGTTTCCTGGTATTTATATTTAAAGCCTATAATATAAAGAGGAAAAGAAAAGAAGATAAAACATATTTCTGTCATTATTGTCCCAAAAGATGATCAATTTTGTAAATGCACGGGTTGGCTAAGTAGTTGAGCTTGCTGTGTACCTTGATGAGAAAGGGGAACTAAGTAAGCCAGAACAGTGGGTTCAAGGCCAAGACTGAAATATTAATGGTCAACAGAATGTATTGAGGTTTCATAAGTTACTCTAGCATTAACATTCCGTCCAGGACAAATTTGAACTCCGCAAACTCGTCTATGTCTATATATAAAGAATACCCTTGAACTTCCATCCCTACCCTCCCGGCCCCCCTGTCCCTCCACTCCCATGGGTTCGTTTCACTGCGTGCATCGTTTTTGCAGGTTATTTGCCATAAATAATAAAGGATTTAGAGAGGCTAACAAAATATTCGGTTTTTTTTTTCAATTGGGGAGCCGAATATTTCATAGGGTTGTTTTTTAGTCTCTGATTTTTTTCATCTGAAAATTCTAAGCGCAGGCCCGCGTTCATCTCCAAAACAGATGTCAGCGACAGAATTATTATGGGCTGTTCGCGCCAATTGGTTCAAAGTGTTCGATTGAAAGAAGGGGACAAAACACCACCATGAAAGTTGTGTTATCATAGAAAATAATCGATACTTTACCACAGATAGAGACGTCTGTAGTCTAGGTTTGGAAAAAAACTCTCCAGTGAACAATTTTACACAGATTTTAGGAGGCCAGAGGTCGTAAAGCTCGAAGTAATTTCAGCACCAACTCGATATGCCTCGCAATGAATCTGGTTCTTCGCCTAGGAAGAGAGCCGCTGCCACGGACCTGCATGAGAGACTTAGTAAAGACGAACTTATTAAACGACTCAAGGTGAGTGTAGGTAACCTTAGGAATGACTAAAATGAGCGGCAAGTGTATACACCGCGACACACAGGTGAATTTTGTGGGAGATTGCGGGTTTATAAATATTTGTTTTGATACAAGATATGAGAATACCGTAAACGAACGAAACGAGACTAGTTGATTTGAATCGTGCAGCTTCAAGAAGCACCTAAGTAAAATAATTAATCGTAATTGATATTTTTAGCTAATCGACTGCGAGAACTCCTCATTTTCGTTCAAAAAATCGTCCTCACACGGGTGATCAGGCAAATTGGACTAAATTAAATTTATTATTGACTTTTGTTTTCGATACAGTAAATCTTGCAATGGCCTGATTAAGACAAACTTAAAATGATCGATTTATTAGCTTCACATGAGCTGTAAATAGGCAGATTCTAAATTCTCTGATTATGAAGCTCATTGGATAGTCATACCCCTTGTTTTGTTAAGGTGTTAAACTTGAGTATGAAAACTTAGTGGAATTATTAATCTGCCACTGACTGGAAAAACGGTTCAACTGATGCTTAAGGAAAAGAAAGGAAAATGGATGTTCATATATATTACTAATTTGATTTATTTGATAGAATCTAGCTCATGAACTGTCTAATGCAGATCAGACAGATCGAGCAGAAAAATATGGAACAGTTGCACAGTCTCTTGTCAGCCCATTCATTCTCAAACACAGAGATAAAGATGTCAAGGCACATGCTGCATGTTGCCTTGCTGACATCCTTAGGATCCATGCTCCAGAGGCTCCCTATGATGAAGAACAATTAAAGGTAATAAAGCCTTTTATGAAATAACTTGAGACATTGTGAGGGTCCTGATTGGTCAAAGTGCTATTGTTAATTGCACTGGTAAACTTGGGGAAAATAAAGTTGATTTTATAAAAGTATCAGCCCACTTTTTATTAGTTTACTTTTGTAATAAGTGACTTGGGATATTGGGAGAACTCTTAAAAAACTTGCAAATCATTTGCTTCAAGCTCATGATTAAAAACTGTTCTCAACATCTTGCACTTATTATTATGCCAGTAATTCAACCAATAGAAAGAGGGCTTGAAGGCAGCAAGCAAATTCTCCTCTGTTGTCTTGATACATATCCTTTTAAAAGTTTGTTTCAAGTTTCAATATTTGCAGATTTAGCACAGATGTAATGATAAAGATAGCAAAAAAAATTGATCCACAAAAATGAGTTCCAGCAGAGAAAAATCCCACAAAATAAAACTAGTTCCTTGCAGACATTTTTACCATCTGAAAGCAAGAGAATTTGTCCCTTCAAACTTAAGTGCAAGATAGTCTCCCATGATATATACCTATTGACTGGATGCAAAAATATTTGATTCAAGGTCATGAATTACAGACTGAGCACAGTGAGATCTGTACATTATGAATAAGAACTAACTATTCTCCCCTCTGGCCTGGTACGACTACTAGGTGTTGAAATTTTCAAAAGCTTTGTTTCAACTGACTTGTAAATAGGATGTGATAGACAAGGGCACTCATGGAATAACCACGAAAAAGATTCTATAGTGAAAACTGCTATAAATTTTTTTCAAGCCAGGATGAGAAACACATAATTCCTATTTCTGTTTCCTTTAAGTTCATATTAAACAATTTTTTTTGGCAACAAAGTTGTGTAAGGGCCTACAACCTGCTCTGCCTTACACATGTCAGCTTTTATCATGGTTTTCTATGGGATTATGTTAGTGGTGCTGGACAGGTTAGGTAATATAATACAGTATTCATGCAACTTTACTCCTAACCAACAGCTGGCGCTTCTTATTTTCAGGCAGTGTTTCTTATGATGACAAATCAGTTAAAAGGCCTTGGAAATACCAAATCTAATCTATCCAAGAAATCCTTCTATCTTTTAGAGGTGTGTGGATTATAACATTCTTTATTGCAGTTTGTTCTTTTTTTATATTGGGAGTAAATTTTGCACTATTTCATTCTGTTTTAGAGTTTAGCATTGGTTAAGTCATTCAATATTTGCCTTGAGCTGGACTTTCAAGATATTATACTGCAGTTATTCAAAGTACTCTTCCAAGTTGTAAAGTGAGTAAAATGTTTCCAGTGTAGACTTGTATCTGTTTGTTAATTCTCCTCTTCAGCTGCTTTTTGTTTCCATGTAAAAGTAAGTTGAAAAAATTTGGTGTTAGATCAAGATAACAATGTCTACCTTTTAAGTTTGATTATTCTCATTACCTGTTTGCTGGATAACGTACGGATACTGTGGGGAGAAATTAAATGTTCATCATTTCTGGGAGTTAAAGGTTTGAATGGAAGTCGGGAATAGAGAAGTTAGCAACCCAAAATTAATGGTCACAGCATATAGGGTTGATAATTGATGACAGGAGTTTAACAGTTGATTCGATTTATTCCTACTTATTGTCATTTTAACCCTGTTTTTAGTGAAAACCATTCAAACAAAATTCAGAATTTTATGCTGGATGTGATGTGTCCTATTATACAAGAAGGGGACTCAATTCCTCAGGAGCTTCTTGACACAGTACTTGTCAACATCATTGAACCACAAAAGGTAAGCACTATTTCTGGTCAGTTTCTTCCCTTTTTTGACTTGTCAGATTAGCAATAATTCTTTAATAAAGTAATTTAATTTGAGTCAACTTCATTGTAACATAGTTAAATGCATTTGGACATAAACTGTATAGATTTTTTTGTCTTTATTTTATTTAATTTACTTTAATTTTCTTATTTGCATTGGGAAAGTTTTAGATAGTTATTTTATTTTGTCACTTTTATAATCATTTGTTTTGTGTCTAAGATTTATTTGAATGGTTTAGGTGAGAACTGTTAAGAGTATTATCCACGGTGCTGTGGGTTCGTTAATACACATTTCTTGAAATTTTTGGAAATGAATGATTTCCAATTTAAAATACTTACTCTCCATAGATGAAAATTTCAGCTTAAAAAAAAACTTTCTAACTTAACCGGCCTTTAACTCCCAAAAGTGATCGACATGAAACTTCTCCCTATAATATCCATACATTATCCAGCAAACAGGTGATGAGAATACTCAGACTTATCAAATAAAAGTTTTATCCTGATCCAATATTATATTCTCATAACTAATTTACAAGGAAATGTGTAGCAGCTAGAAGGGAGAATCAACAATCAGATTTTGGGAGTTAAAGGGTTAACCAAAAATTTATCGTTCAGGTTATGTTATTAGTAGTTTTTAAACTATTAACTAATTACTCATAGCTAATAACTAATTAAAATTGATTATGATTTGATAAGTACTCTTTATTTATCTCCAGAGTGAAAACGTTGTGGCATATAAACTTACCTGTGAGTTCATCAAGAGAACTTCATCTTCTTTAGAGCCATACTTGCAAATGGTGAGAGGGTGTTGGTTTTATTAATAATACTAAAGTACATTGTGGTGCTCTTGAGCAAGATTTGAACAGAGCTTTTATGGTCTCTATTAATTAAGGATCCCAAGGAAGGTAGAGATTGGGATACAGATGTTAATTGTAAAAAGGTTTAAAAGAAACCTCTTTGAAGTTTTTCTGTGGTTGTGTCACATTTAATCCTTTAATCCCTAAAAGTGACCAGCATCTAGTTTCTCTTTATGGCATCACCCCTGGACCAAACATTAAGGTCACGAGAATTAAGGAAGCAATCATCAACTTAAGAAGCTCCTAACAGTTAAACAACTCCTCCTTTTTGGTACCATATGAGATGTTTAGAGGAATGTATA